CTCCCCAGCTGGCTGCTGGCTGTCCCTCCTGCCCCCAGTGCTTGGGGGGCACATGACCCCTCATGCCCCCCCATATCATCCCTGCTGCTCAAGGTAACACAGGGAATCTGTGACAAAGCCAGGACTGGAACAGTGATCTCCTCATGTCAGTGTCCTGTCCCTGGGGCCACCCATCCTCCAGGCTGGCATGCCAGGCCATGATGTGTCCGTACCGCTGCACTGGCGCTGCCAGCTGGGTCTCTCCTGGGTCTGAGTGGGATGCGAGTCTCAGAGCACAGGCCTGGCCGCCGGCGTGATTGGAAGGACGGTTCCGGTGCCATGCAGAGGCACCCGTACTGCTCCCGAGGGGCAGCACTGAAGGGAAACATGGCAGCGGGGTGCCCTGGGGAGACTCAGCGGCCCCTGACAGGCATCTCCTTCCCCATTGCAAATGATGGGTACGTGGGTTACGCCGCCTTCAGTGCTCCGGGCTCTTACTCCATCCCCATCACCAGCGCTTCTTAGCAGCTCTCCCTGCCAGCCCTCGGGACCCCGCCTGCCTTTGTGACTTCCAGCCCACAGGCTTACAGAGGGGTGTGGGGCAGCAGCAGGGATAAGAGTTCCTTTACCTGTCATTCCACACTGCTCCCGAACAGCCCAGCCCAGCCCTGCCCTGGCCCAAGGACAGCTGGGGGGCCTGGACGTTCTGTGCCCAGCAGTAATTGCCAGCAGAGCTACCAGCCTTCCTACCACCTCGCTCCCCAACCCCTCTCACATTCTGCCCTGTCTCCTCCATGCAGGTAGCTAATTGAAATCTGCTCCAGGTTTGTGCCGCGTCCCCACATCTCGCTGGCGCACCGGCGATTTCCATTTCCCTTTGAGGAGTCTGGTCCCCGAGACAGCTCTATCTCGGTCCCCTCTGAGTGGCAGCTTGATTATGCACTACAGTTACACTTCTGCGCCGAAGACCTGCTTGAGAGGGAGGGGGGGGGGGGGCGGCAAAAACCCCACTTCTGCGCCGAAGACCTGCTTGAGAGGGAGGGGGGGTGGGGCTGGCAAATCCCCACTTGTCCTGCATTTCATATTCACACGCTGTCGATCCTCTCTTGCACCCTCTAATCTTGGAGCTAAACAGACTCATCTGCATTAAAAAAAAAAAACAACATAGTAAGAGCGAGCGAGAGTGCGCAGCAGCAAGGGAAGAGTGAGAGAGACTATCCACAGAGCTTCATAAAAATGATAAATTGCTTTCAGATATTGGGCAGGAGAGAAAGAGAGTTCTTTTTTATTTGACGATATTAGTCTCTTAGCGGCGCATTGTTGCTGTGCATATGAGCTCAAACTCTCAAAGCCGTCAAAGCCAAGCGGCCAGGAATTGAAGTGTAAATGAGCCACCGCCAAGCTTTTTATTTCGCCTTTTATGATTTCTCTCTCTCGCTAGTATGTAGGTCAGCCTCCATGTTGAACGTATATTGTGTGGATGTGCATGGGGTGGACATGTGTGTCATGAGTGCAATGTGTCTGTATTGCGTGCAGCTTATACACGGTGGGGTGGTGGGTGGGTGCAACACACGGAGGCTGGGCAGATGTAGGCTTTTATCAGTAAATGTCTATGCACGTCAGTTTCACTGGGCACACGCAAACCAACAAAAAATCATTTCCAGCCGTAATGATCAGCAGGCGAAGTAAGAAAAGCGGCTTGAGAACTTGCGAGTCTTTGATTTAAGGATATTGACTTTTTTGTGACAGGCGATGTTCACAATTTGTGTTTTAAGAGTGATAAAGCTTTAACTGTTTGGCATCTCTGTGCCTGCCGTCATTAAATAATTATTCCCCTTCCCCACGCTCTGTCCAACATCCCCACCAGCACAATTTCCCGCAAGTGTGAAAAATGAAATAAAAATAGTAAAAATGCTTTAAAATCCATTGAGATCTTTTTTGTTAATGAATGTTGCCACAGCTAAGGATAGGCAGGATTGTGTGTCTGTAATGTGGAAGCAGCAGGTGTGTGCGTGTATGTGATAGATCCATGTGGTGAACAGTCTGTGCTGTGGATTTGTGTGCAGTGTGTGTGCCTGCAATTGTATAGGTGGTGTGGGCTCAGTGTGAGTGTGTGTAGCATGTGTAGTGAAAGGGCACGCTCTGGCCATGTGTGCACAGTGCCTGGGCATGGACAGGGACATGTTCTCCACGGGTCAGGGACATTCCCGGGAGTGGTCAGAGAGCTCTGTCACGTCTTCCCACCGCTGTGATGGTGCTGTGCGCACAAACCCGCGTGTGTGTCCCCCAACTCTGCAAATGTAAAAATTACCTTTCCTGTTACATTAGCAATTCAGATGCCAAACTGGTCTGTGCTGGCTGCTCTGATTACTGTGTGTGATAAAGAGATTTGTGCATCTCCTATTAGAAAGACACCAGCCCTCAGCCATGTGAACCCACTAGATTTGCAGAAATTGCAATGTATAAAGATTGTGTGTGTGTGTGTGTGTGTGTGTGTTAGTTACAAGGCGAGGAGACTTTTCTTTTGCTCTCTGGTATTTATGTTATTTGCCTTTCTCTCTCATTTGAACGGGTGTCTGTAAATGCGGCTTGGTGTGGAGGGCTGGGGAGAGCCCAGAAGAGGTGTGAGCCTTGTATGAATACTTGCAGGGTGGTGGGGGGGAGGAGAGGGAGAGGTCAGTGGGTTTCATCCATCTACCTCCATTGGTGGGGCCAAGAATCTCTCCAGGGCCTGGTTAATTTCACCCGCCCTGCCCCCATGACCACTGTGTCCTTGTATCCTAGTAGGGGCTAGAAGCCCAAGTCGAGATCAGGCCCCGTTGTGCTAGATGCTGTCGTACACAGAGTAAGTGCGAGTCTCTCCCTCCGAGAGCTTATGGTCTAAACAGACAAAAGATGGAAGCGGGAGAGAGGCCCTGGGAAGGGATTTGCCCAAGGTCATGCCACTGGGCAGTGGCAGAGATGGGCATAGGATCCAGGTCTCTGAATGCTCAGTCCCTTGCCTCCCAGATAATTGAGGGTGCATCTACGCTGCACTCTAAAATCGAAATAGGATATATCATTTGCGCTCCGCAGATTGTGTTATCTTTCTTTGATTTTATTTCGAAATAGGCTATTTCTAAATTTGCCATGTCTCACTCTCCCCCGCATTACAGAACCCCTTTTTGGAGGCAAGCCGCCCCTAATCCCAGAGAGTCTGACAGATGCGCCCCATGGGGCGTTGACTAGCCCTGCCGTGTCACCCCCTGCCAACACGGGAGTGGGACGGGTCCCAGAGCCTGCTGAGGCAGGTTGTGCAAGTGCCGGGGGTGAGCAAAGGGCAGAGAGCGGGGCTGAAGCACCGTCTTGAGCGGGGCTGGGTGAGGTCAGGCACCGAGAGACGGGAGCGACCCTGGACTTGGATGTCCCGGGGACGGGCCGCGTCAGGCTGCTCCCGCTGTGTGTGTGTGGGGGGGGAAGCTATGAGAGGGGAAAACCCCCTCCGTTTGGGGCCTCGTTTGGCAGGGTGGGCCTGACCCAAAGCGCCCGGAGGCCCGTTGGCATCAGACTGCAGGAGGTACCTGCAGGGAAAGGCCCCACGGCTGGCAGGTGGCAGTACCGAGGGCAGGGTCTGGCTCATAGTGGTGTTAACTTTGGGTGCTGTGTGACTGACTTCCCTGACCACGACTTCATCCTTCCAGCCGCCTCACTGGCTGCTGCATGTCCCCCCACAGCATGTCTCTCACCCGCAAGCCCCTGGAGTCTCTTTACCCCTGGGTTTCGGGCCCAGTTTGCTGAGCAGAGAGAGCACCGATCAGAGGTTCACAAAGAAAATAACGACACTAGGCAGCCTCTCCGTACAGCAGATGGGAATCGGGCGGGGGAAGGGGGAGACACTGAGGCACGCAGTGTGTCAGGCTGATTCAGTGGGGTTGTGGCAGTCAGGAACAGCAGCCAGGAGCGTGGGCTCTCCTTCTGAGCTCCAATTAATTCAACTCCCTCTGAGCTCAGTGCGAGACCCCCGAATCTAGGCTGCTCCCCTGGGCTGACCTGGCCCCTCTCGGTCTCTCTTTTGCAGTGTGCCGAGGAATGCTGTGCGGCTTCGGGGCCGTATGTGAGCGGAGCGCTACCAATGCCTCCCAGGCCGCCTGCGTCTGCAAGAAGATGACCTGCCCATCCGTGGTTGCCCCTGTCTGTGGCTCAGACTATTCCACCTACAGCAACGAGTGTGAGCTGGAGAAAGCCCAGTGCAATCAGCAGAGGCGGATCAAAGTCATCAGCAAGGGGGCATGCGGTGAGTTGAGCGAGGCAAGACGGGCATGCGTGTGCCGACGTGCTGGCACCGGGGCCGTTCCCATAGGGATGAGCCTGAATCGGCTGCCCCAGCCCCATAGCGTCTTGCTAACCCCACTGAGGCCAGCTTTACTAATGCTGCCTCCACCTCCCCCCGGGGCTGATGTTCCTCACCAGCCTTGGCCATCCCATAAAGAGCCAGAGTCCCCAGCCAGCAGCGAAGGTGAAGAAAACATCCCTACTTCTTGCCATCTCGCTTCCAACCCTGCCTGGTGCATGCCTCAGCCATGGGGCTGCGAGCCCTTCCAAACGCCATTATCTTTATTGAACAGGCAGGCAAATGGAGGCAGAGGGAGGTGAAGTAACATGGCCAGGGTCATTCATGCTCAGTGGCAGAACCAGGAACAGAACTCATCTCAGGCCTGGGTTCCAGCCATTAAGGCAACACTGTCTCCCGTTGCAAGAGCCTGCTCCGGAGAGAGTGTGACGGATTAGCCCCCCGCCACGGCTAAGTGAGCTCCCACCTCGGGGACGGAGATTTTTCCAGGAGGCCGGGTGAGGGAGGCTAATAAAGGCCCTTCCCTGGGCTGGCATGCACCAGCTGCAAGCAAGGAGCTGTGTAAATGAGCCCCCCCGTCTCCTCGTCTCAGAGTAAATTAACTTGACCTTTCCCGAGCGCGGGGCTCCGGCTCACAATAAATCTGAGGCCAGCACTCCCGCCGAGTGATTTATTTAAAATAATAATCATAAAAAAGTGACAAATTAAAAAGAAAAAAGCTGACAAATAAATTTGGGCCCATCCCTGTCAGTGAGTAAATTGCTCCTTGCGCTCGTCCTCCAATTACTTTGTGCTGGCGGCACCTTGAGGACCCTCATTTGGCTCGTTTGCTGGCTCTCCCGGAGCACAGCGGTTCGCGGGGTACGGAGCCAGGGGAATTGGGAGCAGGCGGCTGGGAAATAGAGACTTGTCGGATGCGCCAGCTGGCTGGGGCAAGGCCTTGCCTTTGTCTCCCCTGGCGTCAGGGGCTGATTCCACCACTCCGCTCCTGTTGATACGGATGTGCAGCATCTTGCCAGATCCGGCGTGCAGGGGCCTGATGCAAAGCCCAGCTGATGCCAAGGGTGAGACGTTGGAGGGCTTTGGAGTGGGCCCCGCAGGCCTGATGCTGGAGGAGGCTGGGCAGCCAGGCCTAGATGGAGCAGAGCCCTGGAGAAAATGCTTTGCTTTACACGGGAGAGCAGCCCTGTTGACTTGGGTGGCCTTGCTCCCCTGCACAAAGCAAGGGGCATACCTAGCGCTTTGCTGGAGCTGGTTTTCCCGAGGGAGGGCCCGGTGGACAGCCCAGCGCCCAGCGCAGGCCAGGTCACTCTGGCCTGGAAGGAGAGTGAGGAAAAGGGTTGATAAGTCGCACTGAGGCTGGGCCCCACGTTTGCAGGAGTCTGACGGGTCTTGCGTGCCCCACGTTTCGCCTCTCGCTTACAAAACCCCATAAGCGCCACAGCGCCCGCTTGTTGCCAATGGCTCCCTGTCTCGTTTTCCCATAACATAAATCAATTGGAACCGAAGTGCTGCACTTCCATGGCCGTAGAGCGCACTCGACACAAGCCATTGTCTGGGTGGAGTTGTCGTGTGCGCTAGTGCTTCCTATGGAGCCTGCTGTAAAACGAGGCAAACCTCTAGGCTAGTTGAAACAGCCCTGGAAGGCCTCTGCATACCCCCAGGGTTACACCTGGGTTGAGAACCCGTGAGGAGCAGGTAGCACCCGCATGATTAACTAGGCATGATCAGCGTTCCCTGTAAGCTGAGCGCTAGAGATTCAAAGGCCACCCAGCTGATTAGCAGAGCACCCACAGCCGGCAGCAGGGGTTTCCATTGGTGGTGCACATCACACATGCCTTGGTGCACAGAACAACATTTATTCTGCACATGGATGGAAACAATTAGCGGGAACATTGGGGATGACCCTTGCATGTTCCCAGCATTGGGTCTTGAATAACTGCCCTTTGCCTCACCTGTCTGTGATCACTTGGTCGCCAGACGCTTTGGTGGTGCCATAAAATTGCCCGTGCGGGCGGGGGGGCTGACAGAATTGCTGGGCCCCAGGGATGGTGGGGAGGGGAGGGGGACTCCATGCTCCCAGAAGGGGCGGGGCCTCAGGCAGAAGGGGTGGGGCTAGGGCTAGCCTCCCCCTGCCAGCCTTTCAGGGCTGCCCAGAGCAAGCCCTGCAGTGCTGCAGTGACAATGCAAAGGGCCTGAGGCTACGGCCAACCCCGCTGCTGCAGTAGCAGAGGCAGCAGTTGGGAGCCTTTTCGAATCACTGGGCGCGGGAGCAGTTGCCTCTTTTGCCTCCCCGTGTCTGCAGGCCTGCGCCAGTGACACCCGTGTGCCGGTCAGCCAGCCAGCCCCTCTAGATTTCGTCAGGGGACACATGATCTGCAAGGGGCTACACCCCCGGGGATCTGCCTGGAGGTGGCTGCCGGTGGCGGTCGCCTGGCTGCGTCCCGGGTGCTCACACAGGGGCGGGTTGGGCCTCGCGTTGCCAGAGCCGCCAGTGGGGTTGAGTTGGGACCTTCCCTCGCACAGGCCCTGTGGCAGCCGAGCTGGATTTGGGCCCTTGCCGCTCTGCCTTCCAGCTGGGATCTAGACGCTTCCTTCTCTGCCAGCCGGGGCCGCCCTGTTCCGCTCAGTGGCTGGCAGAAGCCGACTGGCCACCTGCAAACCGCAGGCTGCCGAGGGCGGGAGGAGACTGATTTGCGTGAAAGCCCTGCACTTAATCCGGAGCTGCTGCTGGCTGCAGGCGCTGCTGGGCGCGACGGGGCTGCCCTGGCCTAGGCAGGGCGGGGGAGGGACCTGTCCATCCTGCTCCCCTTTCCCGCGGCGTGGTGGGGCGGCAGGAGGAGAGGAAGGCTAACGAAGGGAGGAAGAAGGGACATGGACGGACCACGGGGAGGGGTCCATGCCGGGTCCCCGCAGCAGCACCATGTCCCTTCTCTCCCCAGGTTCCAAGGACCCCTGCGCAGAGGTGACCTGCAGTTTCGGCAGCACCTGCGCCCGCTCCACGGACGGCCAGTCGGCCAAGTGCATCTGCCCGTCCTCCTGCAGCGGCGTGGCCGAGAGCACGGTGTGCGGCAGCGATGGCAAGGACTACCGCAGCGAGTGCCACCTCCACAAGCACGCCTGTGACAAGCAGGAGAACATCTTCAAGAAGGTGGACGGGCCCTGCGGTGAGGCGCCCGCCTGCGCCGGGGCAGCCCGCGCGCTCCGGGTCGGGGCAGGCACTTCCAGCCCCAGGGGGAGAATGTGCTGTAGCTGACACCCTTAAATCCCCGTCTGCCCTGCAGAGGGAATGGCCATGTCGGGTCCCCTCCCAGGCAGTGCTGGGCCGGCCGGCTGGCTGCCCTCAGAGCTCCAGGAAGTGCGTTGAGCTCTGACTATGGAATTAAAGCGCCATGCGGTGCCCCAGCCCCGCTCAGCTTTACCCGCGTCGGGAATAAGCAGGAAACGCTGCGGGGTCGAGGCTGGTGCCCTGGGAAAGGCTGGGGGAGGAATCAGGCCCTCACACCGCTAGAGGCCAAATCACAGTGGGCCGGTTCCTTCCTGCGGGGGCTTCTGAGATCAGCCTAAGCATCGGGGAGCAAGACGAGCCCCGCGCAGAGCGATGGCGCTCAGAGTCCGGACCCCAGAGCTGACTGCAGGCCTCTCCTGCCAAACCACTTCTCCAGCAGCCTAGGTCATAGGCCCTGAGGACACAGGCCACTTTCCTTATGAAAGGAGCCCATCCGCATCCAGAGAGACATTGCTCCCTGGGCCGTGTCTCCAGCCCTGCTTCAGTATTGCTGCGCAACTTGGCAATGCAGAGTGACCGTGTCCCTTAGGCAGAGTGAGCAGGACCCGTGCCGGGTTCCCCCTCTCGAATCGTGGGGGCAGGGGGAGGCTGGGCGCCGGAAGGGCTGCTCGTTTTTGCAATCCACCACGTTGCCGCGTCGTCACGAAATGACCCCAAGGGCGGGCAGGGCGCGTGTGTGTCTGGGAGCGCGGCTCGTGGGGCCGGGGGGCACTCTCCAGATGGCACCTGGAGGCTGCATGTTGGGCAGCTGAGTATTGGGAGGCGCTCGCTAGACCAAGGCTGAGGAACCCTTTTTGGGCCGGGGGCCGCTGACCCATAGGAAAACCAGTCGGGGGCCACAGACAAGTGAGAAGCAAAAAAATACAAGACTGAAAAACAACCCCTCTGATGTGGCCCCTGAGCGCGAAGGAGAAAGCCCCTCCCCACATTCCCCTCGCACCCAGAGCCTGGGATGGCCCAGGCTAATATTATTTTGTGGATCCAGCCCCATGCGGGGGGCGGCAAGGGGACTGGAGCGCCAGCGTGGGCTCCCTAATGTCGGGGGGAGCCCTAAGCCTCAGGGGCCGGATTCAGGCCTTAGGTTCCTCACCCTTGCACAAGACAGACGGGAATTCAAAGAAGAGGAAAGCGAGGGGCTGGCAGAGGAGGAAAGAGAAGAACTAGGAGCCGGGGCTGCAAGGTCGTGATTCCCTTTGGCCCTCACCAATTCCCTGGCACTCAGCCCCTCGCAGAATTGAGCCCTAAAGGAGCAGAACTGTTGCAAGTGCCTGGGGGGGGGTGAAAATACCCAGGAGAATTCAGGGTGGGGTGGCCATGTGGCGCGTCAGAACCGGTTCCTAACAGGGGGCGATGCAGAGCAGTGGAACCAAGGCCCGAGGGCAGCAGGGGGCAATTTCAGATGGGAGGGGGGAGGCCGGGTGTTCACAAACCTTTTCATCGCGGGGGCCAGACCTTGGACCAAAGTCCCAAGGAGAGTCTTGTTCTCCTGCCTGCGATTGTAGAGTTGGAAGTGAGCACAGAGCTGAGCTATGGCTCTGGATTGGGCCAGCTTGGGGGGCAGTGGGGGTTCTCCCAGCTGGCTGGGGAATGTGGTTTTGGTTTCCCCGGAGCAGTGGGGGCTGTAGGGCATGCAGGGAGTTCAGTGTGTTCCGATTCAAAGGGGAGAGAAATTCAATCCGGTGTCTGTGCGTCTGGCTGGGTGCTATCCAGGTACTTGCACTTGGCAAAAGAATCCAAAGCCCAGGACTTGTGATGGGATTAGCGCGTAGCTGGCGTCCGTTTGGGCTGTGTGGTTAGGATGCTAATGGGAGCAGCGATCAGCAGTGCGGGCGAGCCGGATAAACCCAGGTTATAGTGGGGGAGGAGGGCATGTTGCCCCCCTCTCCTCTGGGACCTTCCCTCCTAGGCTTGGATTTCCCAGCCCAACCGCCCACGGCAGGGAGCAGATGGGAAGGCCTCATGCAGCGAGTGTGCCAGGTAGCTTAGAGCTGAGCCTTAGGAGCAGGTCAGACAGATGCCGGCAGGGCTGGTCGAGGCTGCCTCGGCGTGGGAGGCAAGGGGGGCAGTTGCCCCACGGTCCGGCAACTCTAAAGGGCCCAGGGCTCCTGCTGCCGCTGCAGTAGCAGCAGTGATGGCCGGAGCCCCGGGCCCCTTTGATTTGCCACCGGAGTGCACACACTCTGCTGGGCTCTGAGGGCAGGGGGCAGGCCCACCAGGCTGGCTGCTCTGGCCCCACCCCTTCTACCCAAGGCCCCACCCCTTCCGGGGGCACAGAGCTCTTCCCCACGCCTTGCCCCAGGGCCTGTGGTGGCTGTCTGCCCCACTGCCCGAGCTGTTCAAAGTCCAGTCAGCGGCACAGTAGGGGCCTGGAGCTGGCTCGGCACTGCTCTTGGAAGCGGATGCCAGGTTCCCACAGCCCCTAGCTGCAACGAGGCTCTGTGCTCTGTCCCTACCCAGGTGCCAGCTCTGCAGCTCCCATTGGCCAGGAATTGTGACCAATGGGAGCTGCAAAGGCAGGGCCTGCGGGAACAAGGGCAGCCCATAAAACTTCCCTGGTTGCCTGTGCACCTAGAGGCTGTAGGGACCTGGCAGCCACTCCCTGGGAGCCGCAGTAAAAGCTGCTGGGACCCTGCATCCTGAACTCCCTCCCTCATCCCAACCTCTGCCCCAGTCCTGATCCAGCGCCTGCTCCCCAAGCCCCTTCTCTCTGGCCCCACCCCAGAGCCCAAACCCTCTGCTGGAGGCCTCACCTCCCCACACACACCTCAACCCCCTGCCATAGCCTGGAATCCTCTCCCGCACCGTGAACCCCTCATTTCCAGCCCCACCCAGAGCCCAAACGGCCTCCCTCACTCCAACCCCTTGCCCCAGCACAGTGAGAGTGGGGAAGAGCGAGCAATGGAGGGAGGAAGGATGCAGCGAGTAGGGGCAGGGCAGGGTGGGCCAGGAGTGTTGGGTTTTGTGTGATTAGGAAGTTGACAGCCCTACATGGCCTGGCTCTAGAGGGGCAGCCCCCCCGTGGCCTATTGCGGGAAGGGGTTGGGAGGTTGAGCCTTGAGCGTCTAAAGCCAGAGTGGGGTCATTGATGGGGTCGGGTCGTGTGTGGCGATCTGAGCGACGCTCTCGCCCCGCTCGCAGTTGAAATGAGTTTGATCTTAGCTTTGTCTTAGTGGTCATCTGGCCACAGAGCCAGAGCGCCCGTGGGCACGGCCGGCAAGGGGACTGAGGGCCAGGACGTCAGCCGGTTCTACCGCCAGGCGGGGATCCAAGGGCACTGGCAGGGTGGCCACTTTTGGTGGGTCGCATTCCTGGAGGTTCTGTCACATGACACCCGAATTCCTGGAGTCTCCCGGACAATCCTGGAGCGTTTTCAGCCCCAGCTGTTTGTGGGGCTCTGGGCTGGAACGAAAAGAGCCGCTGCAGGCCTGGTTCAGAGGCTGGGGGGAGGGTCAGACCATCTTGGCTCAAGTCTCCCTTGCTTCTGCTGTGAGTGAGTGGAAGAGTGATCAGCAAGGTTCCTTGTCACCGCGAATCCCTGGGCTCTCCCCTTCTGGAGCCAGGGCCTGGTAGAAACCAAGGGAGACCCAGTGTAGCTAGCAGCTTGACAGGGTTGTGATGGGGCCTGGCTTAGAAGGGCCTGACCCTGCCGGCGTGGACTGTGCATGTGAAGCAGACCCTGAGCACATCCCTCTCCTCTCCCCTCACTGTGCCCGCAGACCCTTGCAAGGGCTCTCTCAACGACCTGCACCGGGTGTGCCGGGTCAACCCCCGCACCCGCCGAGCGGACCTGCTCTCCCGGCCCGAAAACTGCCCTCCCAAGCGGGAGCCGGTGTGTGGCGACGACGGGGCGACCTACGACAACGAGTGCGTCATGGGGCGCTCGGGCGCCATCCGGGGGCTGGAGATCCAGAAGGTGCGCTCGGGGCACTGCCAGCCGCAGGGTAAGTTCCTTTCGGCACGGGGGCTGGCGGTAGGGAGAGGGCACGCGCTCGCGGTGCAGGGCTGCCCGGTTCGCCCTGCCAGAAAAGCTCTCCTGCCCCAGATCATCCCGCTGGACTTGGACAGGGACGCTGCCCCCGCAGCCCAACCCCACTTTTGTCATCTGTCCCCGCTGGGCACGCAGAGTCCAGCATTGGTCATGGCTGAGGCAGGGCTGGGTGCTGGCCACGGCCAGGTTGCAGTCCCTGGGTTCCAGTGGCTCTTCTGCCAGGGACGACAGAGAAGACTCGATACCGCTGGAGGGCAGGGCAGGCACCATCGCTTCCCAGTCTGCCCAGCCGCCTATCAGTGGGAGCTGGACAGTCCCCAGGAGCATGGACCTGACCACCCCTGAGCTTGGGCAGCTCAGATACAATGACCACGGGCCTCAGTCGCTCTCCCCCCGCAGTTGACGGTTGGGCAGCCAGAGCTTTTCGCGTCCCATCTTCCCGGCTCTCTCCCTTGTAGCATGCGATAGCTACACCAGGGAGGGAGAGGAATTATTTAAGCTTAATACCAATGTGGACACAAGAACAAATGGATATAAGCTGGCTAGTAGGAAGTTTAGACTTGAGATTAGACGAAGGTTTCTAACCATTAGAGGAGTGAAGTTCTGGAACAGCCTTCCAAGGGAAGTAGTGGGGGCAAAAGATCTATCTGGTTTCAAGATTAAACTAGATGGGTTTATGAAGGGGATGGTTTGATGAGATAACATGATCTTGGTAACTAATTGTCCATTCATTATCAGTGGGAATAGGTCAATGGAGGGATGATAGGAGTTACTATAAAGAACTTTCTGGGTGTCTGGCTGGTGAGTCTTGCCCACATGCTCAGGGTTTAGCTGATCGCCATATTTGGGGTCGGGAAGGAATTTTCCTCCAGGGTAGATTGGCAGAGGCCCTGGAGGTTTTTCGCCTTCCTCTGTAGCATGGGGCACAGATCACAGCTAGAGGATTCTCTGCATCTTGGGGTCTTCAAAGTATTTGAAGGCTTCAATATCTGAGATATAGGTGAGAGGATTATTCTAGGAGGGGTGGGTGAGATTTTGTGGCCTGCACTGTGCAGGGGGTCAGACTAGATGATCATAATGGTCCCTTCTGACCTTAAAGTCTATGAGCATGTGAGCCTCGGCCTGTTCCCCACCAGGGGCCTCGTGGCTCCGGGCTGGAAATGCCCCTTCCATTGCCAGGCCCCCAAGCCGGCAGCCCTGCTGGCAGCTCAGCCCCCGCCCAGCCAGCCCGACGCCTGCGCCCCAGTCCCTGATGGAAGCGGCGCCTGCTCTTTCCGTTCCAGACAAGTGCAGGGAGGAGTGCAAGTTCAACGCCGTGTGCCTCAACCGCCGCGGCTCCCCCCGCTGCTCCTGCGACCGCATCGCCTGCGACGGCGCCTACCGGCCCCTCTGCGGCAGGGGCCGCCGCCGCCGAGTGCCAGCAGAGAGCCGCCATCCCCGTGAAGCACGAGGGCCCTTGTGGTAAGCTGGCCTGGGGCGGTCCCATTTGTCTCCCCCCTTTGCCACCCGGCCCCAGCAGGAAAATGCCCCTCGCCCCCTCCTGCTTTCTCCCATAACAAGGCACAGGAGCAGCGGAGCTGTCCAGACATCAGAGGTAAGTTGTATCCGTGTCGAGTGCCAGCAGAGAGCCGCCATCCCCGTGAAGCACGAGGGCCCTTGTGGTAAGCTGGCCTGGGGCGGTCCCATTTGTCTCCCCCCTTTGCCACCCGGCCCCAGCAGGAAAATGCCCCTCGCCCCCTCCTGCTTTCTCCCATAACAAGGCACAGGAGCAGCGGAGCTGTCCAGACATCAGAGGTAAGTTGTATCCGTGTCCCTGTAGCCACTGGGTGACCCCTCTTCCCCTTCATGACCTCCAGGCCAGTAAGATCCCCCCCTCCCTTTCTTCTTCCTTTTGCCTGATCCTGAGTTCCTGCCTTCTGTCTCTCTCCTCTGTCTCCGTCACTGCCGTTTCTCTCTCCCTGCCTGCTCTGGTGTCGTCCGCCTCCGCTGTGCCCTGTAACGGACCAGGGAAAACGATTTGCACAATAACAACAAGAAGCACCTTGCCTGTGTGGTCCATGTGCCCCATCCACCTGCTCCCTGCCAGGCACATGCTGTATCATGCCACTCGGAAGCAGCTCCCATTGCCCATCCTGCCTCCCAGGGTAGTGCCAGTCTCCCGAGTCCCTTCCATCGCTTCCCCCGCCATATTTTCCAGCCTTTCTCAGCTCTAGGTGCCCGCCATCAGGAGCTCGTCCCGGCGCTGCGGCTCTCCAGTGGTCTCGTCTGTCTTTGTCTCGTTTCTGGGGAGGAGCAGCAGGGCGCTGTTGGTGGAGGCTCTTTGAGGTCTGGGTTGTGGGATAGGCTGGGGGCTTGGGTCGCTGTGGCTGTGGAAGCCACCGATTTATCAAATCAGCTGCTGCCCAGGGAACCGAACGGGCTAATCGTACGGAGCCCACCGGCAGGCATGAACCGGGAGCGCTGCTGAGTTCAGCTTGTATTTATTTGATTATCAACCAGACTCAGCTGCCTCTTCACACTGCTCCTGTGTCCTATCAAACCTTCTGAGAAGATGCTGAGATGAACCCCAGGTTTTCAAGACTGTTTGGCTGGCCCCTGCTTTGGCGGCGTAAACGCCACTGGTCAGTCATCAGCTGGGCATAACAGAATCAGCGGATGGTTTTTTAAGCAGGACCACTGGGGAGCTTGTCTGGCTGATGAGCTGTTAGGGGTCACTGATTGGTCTCTGCAGTCCCACTCGCTAGTGACTATGTAGCCCCTCCCACATTCACAGGATTCCAGGAGCTGAGACTTTAGGGAAAACAGCAACTACGGCAAGCCTGGGGGCAAGCGGGTGGAAGTCAGCAGCCCTGGACGTTGTTTTCCTTCCCTGGGCGACAGTCCTTCCTTCTCCGGTTGCGCTGCTCCTCGAAGTCTGTTCCTTAGGTTCCAAAGCCTGTTGCAGAGAGTTGAAAACCGTCCCCTGAACCCGGTGGGCTTGGAATCCACCCCTAATATCTCAGCCCTTCTGAAAACCCAGCTCCCAGGATCCGGCTGTACATCCACATGGCCTCTCGGCCTGTCTGTGTCCTGGAAACAAACCTCTGGCCGATTCTGTAGTTCAGCCCTGCGCTCTCCCATGAAGGGCAGCGTCTCTCCTCCTGTTTGGACTCTCCCCCATGGGGTTGCTGTCCCTGCAGGCTGTGCAGCCAGGAGAGCAGGCCCACACACTCGTCCTTCCAAGAGCATGTGCTCGTGGGATGCGAGTCAGGAAAATCCAGGGCGAGAGGTGAAGCAGAGTTTGACGCTTGATCAGCCAAGACTTGGAGATTTCAGTCCCTGTGACAGCTCAGCTCTGCCTCCTAGCACACCACCATGCAGTGTAGCTCTGTCACAGGCCTTCTCCTGTGTCAGCCCACCCCTTCCCTCCACTGCTGCCTGCCCCCTCCGGGTCACCTGTTCAAACCCAGCACAAGGCCAGAAGTGGCCTACATAGAAGGAGGCAGCGACCTCGGTGCAGCCTTTGCTCAGCACCTGTCCCCAGCACAAAAGCACCAGCCCTGGTATGAACGTGTCTTCCGGGCCCTCTGGCCAAGGAGGCTGTCGTTCAGTCAGCTGCGTAGTGCAGGCCAGGGCTTAGGTGAAGCAGGGTCAGAGGCTTGAGCAGCCGAGACGTGGAGATGTGTGAGAGCCCAGTTCTGCTCCAGGAGGGAGCTGGGGAGTCAGAGAAAGCTAAGGCCGGGCTGGGCAAGATGTGGCCCCAGAGCCGGATCCGGCCCCCAGACTGCACCTGGCCGCTCTCTATTTATATCCTGCTGCCTCTGCCTCCAAAGTTCCAGGCGGTGGCTCAGGCAGCAGGATCCTATTGAAATGGCTCCCAGTCCTGGTGCCTCCCTGGCAGGGGCCGGAGCTGCGAGCCTTTTAAATAGCCACAGCATCCCTGGGCAGCTGCCAGGCAACACGGTAGCCACAGGGCCAGGAGCCACGAGCCCTTTGCCGGTCCCAGACAGCTCTGTGGGGAGGTTAGTCCCCAGCCCTGCCCCTTTGGGGGGACAAGCCATGACCACATTACAACATGCATGAAGTGCCCCCCCCCGCAAAAAGTATTGCCCCCCCCCCGAGCTACAGGCTCTGTCCCTAGCAGCCTCCAGAAGGATCCCCTGTATATTCATTCTGCCCAAGTCCTGCCTTTTCTCCGCTGCGAGGGACACGCGGGGACGGAGAGATGGGGTCCCACCAAATCAGGGTAGAGACACGTCGGGGGCAAGGCTGGGAAAGCCGGCTCCGTGCTATCTGCTCTGCAGAGAAAGAGGCTCTAAGGAGTTAACTCCAGGTGCCACCCCGCCCATGTGCCTGTTACAAACCCTCCCTCTCCACTGTAGGGAGCAGGGCAGAGGCCCTGGGGGGAGGGATCCCCCTGGAGCAGTGGTCCCCAAACTTTTGGGGCTGCCGCACGCCCAGGGGTGGGGCCGCTCACGTGCCGGGCGTCCGGGGGCGGGGCTGCTCATGCGCCACTCTTCCGGGGGTGGGGTCACGCATGCACCGCGTGCCCAGGGGTGGGGGCCGCCCACGCACCCTGAGCCCAGGGCTAGCACCACACATGTGCTGTGCATCTGGGACAGGGGCCGTCCATGCGTCCTATGCCCGGGGCCAGCACTGCACATGTGCCGCGCGCTGGGAGTAGGGGCTGCCCCTGCACCCGGGATCGACACCGTGCATATGCTGCGCGCCCGGGGTAGGGGCCGCCCATGCGCCACATGCCCGGGGCTGGCACCATGCATGTGCCATGCGCCGGGGGGGGGGGCCGCCCACATAAATGCCCCGGCGAGTGCTATGGCACCCGTGGGCACCGTGTTGGGGACCACTGCCCTAGAGAGTCCCTTCCCCGGGGAAGGTCCAGGTGCGGGCAGGGAATAGGAACCTCCCTGTAGAAATTGGAGGGCATCTCCTTTTACAGCAAGGTGGAAGCCCCGGAGTGGCACCAGCCCAAAGCGGGGGATTTAGGGGCATGGATCCAGCTGTAGGCCCTGCTGTGCCTATCAAAGCCCCTTTTTTGGAGGCTGCCTACAAACTCTCCGCTTCTGGAGGGAGATTGCAGCTGAGCGCCAGCGTGGAATGAAGAAGATTTAGAATAACGAGAGCCTATGGAGGGGAAGGGAATGAAAAGCTCCCTATTAACATGGCAACACGATGCTTTAATCTTTCACGGGTACCTGCCTAATGAACTCTCAGCCCTGCTGCTCACTCTGTTCCAGCAGTCAGGGAAGGGAACAAAGCCAGGCAAACAGCCCCAGCCTGCCCATCACTTGGTATTTCTTAAGTTCCTTTCTGCTTCCAAACAAGGGTGGACAGAGCTGAAAGCTGCCTTTAGGCGCGGGGAGATGGGAGATGGGGGTTAGGACTTTGGAAGAAGCAGGGCTTGACAGCAGAGGGAAAGTCTCTGTAGTTGTGTCTGTCTGTTTTCCTTTTCTTTCTTTCTTTCTTTCTTTCTTTCTTTCTTTCTTGTCTTGTGTTTTACAGCATTGCCTGTTTGGAGAAAGGACGTGCACCCACACAGCACCCTACCGCTCCCAACCGGGATGTCTCTGCTCAGAGGTCTGCTTTTGGAAGAAGCAGGGCTTGACAGCAGAGGGAAAGTCTCTGTAGTTGTGTCTGTCTGTTTTCCTTTTCTTTCTTTCTTTCTTTCTTTCTTTCTTTCTTTCTTGTCTTGTGTTTTACAGCATTGCCTGTTTGGAGAAAGGACGTGCACCCACACAGCACCCTACCGCTCCCAACCGGGATGTCTCTGCTCAGAGGTCTGCTTTCTGTTTGTCTCTCTCTTCCTCTTCCCCACCCTCTCCTCCTCCCTAGCCTGAGTTATAAGCCCTTGGGATGAAAAAAAATGCCCCCGGTTTGTTCCCCCTCCACCCACTTCCTGCCTGGAATGAAAGTGCTTTGCAGTGCAAGGGGGTAGTTTTAATGCCTGCTCCAGTTTGCATCTTTTCCTCAGAGGTGGCTGGGGTCTGGGGAGGGCCATACAACCGCAGGCTCTGTTGTGGGCAGCTGCTGTTTTGCCTGCACGCTCCTGTGAGCTGAGAACCCTGTTACCTGTCACAAGGGCCTCTTCCAGGCTAAGTCGTCAATTCGGGCTGCTCCTGGTGGATTTGATGTTTGTCCTGCTCCGGCATGGTCGCGGACTCCTGGCTGCTCGAGATCACTGTGCCCCTCCCCCCGTCCTGCTCCCTTCCTTAGCGTGTGTTTGCGTGCGTGGATGCGCCACACATGTCTGGGCCAGTGAAAAGGACTGAGCATGCAGCATGGTGTGGGACCGACTGTGACCCCCCTGCCCCCCTAACGCACATGGCACCGTGCCGACATTCAAACCAGCCTTCCGTCGGGCAGAGAAGGGTTCCTCCCTGGGAGCACACGATCATGGCACCTCGGGAGGTAGCAGCCCAGCCTGCTGGCAGGGGGATGCGTCGAAACCCTTGGATGCTGCAAACGGGC